AATCTAATTAAAGTTGATAACATTATAGAACTTAATTAACGAGTGCTTAGTAAAACTTTAAAGTGTTCGAATACAATGAAAGTTTTTGGTGATTCTGTTTTTCAGAATAACAAGATTCTTTTGTTTGAGTCGAGATGAAGATAGTCAGGGCTATGTTACATGAAGACGGAGACGAATGGCTCGTTAATTTAGTGAGTATTCCTGTAGGAATAGACAAAGGGAGGATCTTTTAGAGCGCATAGAGTAAGTGTGAAAGTAACCCCGGTAATCAACAAATTAAAGAGCGGACGGTTAGCGTGGTATGGACATGTGATGCGTAGAGAGAAGATGCATGTGACTAGGAGATGTATGGAATTGGTAGTGTAAGGTAGAAGGGGAAGAGGTCGACTGAAGAAGACATGGATGGAGTGTGTGAATGACGATATGAGAGACAGGACTGAGTGTTGAGATGTCGGCGGATAGAAGAGAACGGAAGAGAAAAATTTGCTGTGCCGACTCCACCTAGTGGGATAAGGTGGCGAAAAAGAAGAAGATGTAATATCGCTCGATAGAATTTTGTAAATAGTTGTAATTAATACGTGAAGCAAAAACTTTGTACCCATTTTTACAAAAATTGCGCTGACGGATTTGAAGTCGTCGTGGCCTAACGGATAAGACGGTCCGGTGCATTCGTGTTGAGCGATGCACCGGTGTTCGAATCCCGCAGGCGGGTACCAATTTTTCTAATGAAATACGTACTCAAAAAATGTTCACGATTGACTTCCACTGTGAAGGAATAACATCGTGTAATAAAAATGATACCCGCAAAATTATAATTTACGTAATTACTGGTGGTAGGACCACTTGTGAGTCCGTGCGGGTGGGTACCATCACCCTGCCTATTTCTGCCAGTCGCCAGACTTAACGGTAGGCAGCAGCTTGACTCTGCCCCTGGCATTGCTGAAGTCCATGGGCGACGGTAACCACTCACCATCAGGTGGGCCGTATGCTCGTACAAGGGCAATAAAAAAAAAAAAAAACCAGTGGGGCAGCCGTTGTAACTATACTGAGACCTTAGAACTTATATCTCAAGGTGGGTGGCGCATTTACGTTGTGGATGTCTATGGGCTCCAGTAACCACTTAACACCAGGTGGGCTGTGAGCTCGTCCACCCATCTAAGCAATAAATAAAAAAAACGGAGGAGCATGAAATTTCCTCCAGAAGGAATGCTGAAAGCTATTTTTTTTAATTATGCATAAAAAATAAATTAAATCAATAAACAACAATACACACACTACCATGTAGGTATTTGACACACTCGTCACTAGGATCCGACGGTTGGGGCTCGAGGTGGCGCTCGATAAAACCCAGGCCCTGCTTTTTCACGGGCCGGGACGAGCGCCGCCTGTGGGTGCCCACCTCGTGATCGGAGGCGTCCGCGTCGGGGTTGGGGTGACCGGTCTTCGGTACCTCGGCCTCGAACTGGATAGTCGGTGGAACTTCCGCGCTCACTTTGAGAAGTTGGGCNAGCCAGTCACCGTCGACGCCCTAGACACGTCCTTACGGATCCATCAGATCCAATAACCTTTGCATTAGATGCCTTCAGCTCTAATACTAGGGGCAGGCTTAGGGACCCCGGTAACCGTACTCGTCGAACTCGACAAAGAGGTCGACGTGCAACCTAACCCATGCATCAGCCCGCTGAGTTTCTCGCCGGATCTTCTCAGAGGGTCGCGATCCCGATCCGGTAGTAGATTCATTCGCGAAACAATTGCTCTTGAGTTGTTAAGTCTCCTTCGGAGGCGCTCGGGCAGTTGTTAGCAAATCCCACCCCTCTTGGCTGAGCCTTTGCTCGCCCACCTGTCCTGGTGAAACTGGAAGGGCCTTCGGGCCACCAGTAAACTTTCAATCATAAAAAAAAAAAAAAAAAAAAAAACCTTCTCTGGACTTCCACAAATAATTCAAGACCAAAATTAGCCAAATCGGTCCAGCTGTTCTCGAGTTTTAGCGAGACTAACGAACAGCAATTCATTTTTATATATAGGTATATAGATTATATCTCAAAAATACATCAAGTAAATACGAGCGTAATAAAAAAATCCGTAATCAATATTTATGTTATTATTACACAGGAATTCAAGGAGCAAGTAATCAAGACAGTAACTAGGATTGAAGAGAGTCACAACGTTGTTGGAGTTCTGTATCTGTCAAAAGGTTAATTGGATAGACAGTAATTTAAAAAAAGCTTTAGAAGTAACTTTGTTTATATTTTTTGTTATCGCTGCGTGTTTTTGAAAGCTGTCTTAGCCTCCCAACCGGTACATGTGTTTGGTACGCAGAAGAATATAGGCACAATGGTATCATCTATATACAGTGTCCCAGAAAGAATGGATAATCCTGAAGCACCTTATAGTAGAGCTATTTATTGGGGACGCAAAAAAAAAATTAAAAATTTTTTTTCTTAGTTAGTACCCAAATTTAAAATAACAAAAAAATACAAAATTTCATAATTATGAAAATTTTATTTCAGATTAACTTTTATAAAAAATTACACTAGCTAGTCATACAATTTCCTGGTATTCCTTACTATAGTCCATGTAGAATATATAACACCAAAAACCCTATGGATTTTATTTATTTGTAGCTGTTGTATAATATATTCCAGAAACGCACAGCAGTATGGAAAATATAAACTTTTAAAAAAAAATACCTAATTTGGGTACTACCTCAGTTTTTTTTTATTTTTGTGTCCCCAATAGCTCTACTATGAGGTGTTTCAGGATTATCCATTCTTTCTGGGACACCCTGTATATGGCTTATATATGCCAGGATCACCATTGGGCTTAGTGCGAGCTTTTAAACGTTCTCGATAGCGTAAAAGCTAACTCAAATTTATATTGAGTTGAAACGTTTACCTACGTTTGCCGCTAGGGGCGCTGTTCCAACTGCACACAATTTAGAGTTAACTTTTACGTTATCGAGAACGTTTAAAAGCACGCATTAAGCACACAGTTCTCAAGTGAATTATTTAAGTATAGTCGCCGATACTACAGGATAGACGATAGTATGCGATACAATATAAACGTGCCTCATATCACAGACGCAGTCCAAATGTACACATTACCGGAAACGGTCGCGCAGGTCCTATGCAGGAACCTGCCACCGCTCAACGCGAGTATGCAACGAGCAGTTACTGAAATCGTAAGTGTTCATAAACTAAGGCTTGAGCTGCTTTCAGACTACTCTATAATAATAGGTTGGGGGAAAAGTTTCTCCGCATTTTTTAAGATAATTCACAACATTTTTTAATATAGTTTATTTACATTTAACTAAAGTATGTAGGTACCATTTTGTTCGATAACTTTTTGCTATCTTGAAGTTTTTTTTAAAATGCGCCAAAACCGTTTTGTGCTCAATTCCCGGTTCTTCAGCTACGTCGTAACTACTGATATGCCGAACTTGCTCCACTTTTTCAAAAATGGCATCCATTTTATCCGTAATTGGGCGACCAGAGCGACGTGCATCTTTGACATCAAAATTTCCGGATTGATAGCGCTTAAACCAAATTTGTGCTACTCTCACAGACACTGCACCAGGTCCATAAACATCACAAATTTTTTTCGCAGCTTGCGTTGCATTTTTACCTTTATTGTAGTAAAATTTTAAAATGCATCGAATTTCTTCATTCTTCATTCATTTACTCATCTTGACAGTACGAAAAATAAATAAAATTCACGAATTTTCCTAACTTGTAGTAGCGACCCTGGGTAAATTCAATGCGTTTCATTCTTTTTTGAATTACAATACGATTGTAGTGTGTGTGAAACTTTGAGACACAATTTGTATAGTAATAGGGCTGGTTAGGCCATTATGGAGGTTGCGTGCAGAAACGCAGAGACCAAAGGAGATGGATTTAAGATCCTAGCCTCTTTAAGCAAGACACTATCAAGTGACAATGTTATCTTATTTTCTCCTATACTCTTCTCCTAGTCTTTGCTTAAGTGGTCGCGGTTTGCAGGAGACCATTTGCATATTTTCACTATTGATATCTTTGAGCTCAAGCACAGCACTGAGAAATATTTAATTGATTGAACTAGTCCCGAAAAATAAACACATTCGCTCAATTTTATTGTACATACTTGCAAAAAAGGATAGATTTTTTTTAATCAATACCTACTTACCTGCCTAACTAATCAGTATTATTTCTTCTTCTTTTTTTATTGCTTAGATGGTGGGACGAGCACTACTGCTTGATACCACAAAGCTCGTATTTTGTTTACCGAATTCACCCGAACGTTCCCGAACTTTGCCAATGACATTAACAACCAACAGGATATCGAAGACACGTTGGTCGCGTATAGAATCGAAACGAAAACATCAGAAGTTTTAGTGGCATCAGATCTTGATTTCACGGCGTGCGTCGTCCACAGGATCAAGAGGAAACATAAAAAGAATTTGATCTGTTAGTGTCACTTTAAAACTTTGACCCGTTACGTGAGAAACATAAAATCGATAAACTGTAATAGTATGACCAGACTCTAAGATTTTGACCATGATTGTGGTACGGATATCGTGTTTTCCTGGCTGGAACTTATGATTAGCATAGGAAACGGTGAAATGTTGGTACGCTGAGAACCCTAGTAATCAGTGCTCGAGGTAAAAATTAGGGAGACAAAGAAGTTAGAAAATATAATGAAATTGCTACTACTACTGAATTGAACCATGCGGCAGGAGCAAATGGCTAGAGAAGCCTTAGATTGACCGTGCCATTTTTTGCTAGATAATATCTCTACAGTAATAATGATTTTTTACCAATCTGTTTAGTTTTCCCTGCCCTTAAAGAACAGAGTTTTTAACTTTTAAAATAGTGACTTCATTTACATGAGAATCTAATTAAAGTTGATAACATTATAGAACTTAATTAACGAGTGCTTAGTAAAACTTTAAAGTGTTTGAATACAATGAAAGTTTTTGGTGATTCTGTTTTTCAGAATAACAAGATTCTTTTGTTTGAATCGAGATGAAGATAGTCAGGGCTATGTTACATGAAGATGGAGACGAATGGCTCGTTAATTTAGTGAGTATTCTTGTAGGAATAGACAAAGAGAGGATCTTTTAGAACGCACAGAGTAAGTGTGAAAGTAACCCCGGTAATCAACAAATTAAAGAGCGGACGGTTAGCGTGGTATGGACATGTGATGCGTAGAGATAAGATGCATGTGACTAGGAGATGTATGGAATTGGTAGTGTAAGGTAGAAGGGGAAGAGGTCGACTGAAGAAGACATGGATGGAGTGTGTGAATGACGATATGAGAGAGAGAGGAGTGAGTGTTGAGATGTCGGCTGATAGAAGAGAACGGAAGAGAAAAAATTGCTGGGCCGACTCCACCTAGTGGGATAAGGTGGAGAAAAAGAAGAAGATGTAATATCGCTCGGTAGAATTTTGTAAATAGTTGTAATTAATACGTGAAGCAAAAACTTTGTACCCATTTTTACAAAAATTGCGCTGACGGATTTGAAGTCGTCGTGGCCTAACGGATAAGACGTCCGGTGCATTCGTATGTACCGATGCACCGGTGTTCGAATCCCGTAAGCGGGTACCAATTTTTCTAATGAAATACGTACTCAACAAATGTTCACGATTGACTTCCACGGTGAAGATTCCAACGTGTAATAAAAATGAAACCCGCAAAATTATAATTTACGTAATTACTGGTGGTAGGACCTCTTGTGAGTCCGAGCGGGTGGGTACCATCACCCTGCCTATTTCTGCCAGCCACCAGTGGGGCAGCCGTTGTAACTATACTGAGACCTTAGAGCTTATATCTCAAGGTGGGTAGCGCATTTACGTTGTGGATGTCTATGGGCTCCAGTAACCACTTAACACCAGGTGGGCTGTGAGCTCGTCCACCCATCTAAGCAATAAAAAATAAATAAAAGGGAGGAGCATGAAATTTCCTACATTTATAGAGAATATAGAGAAGGAATGCAGAAAGCTATTTTTTTAATTATGCATAAAAAATACATTAAATCAATAAACAACAACACACACACTACCATGTAGGTATTTGACACACACGCATGCATACTATTTGTTTATTGTCAAACTTTTCTTATTGCTCAATTTGAGAATAGATTAAATATTGTTACATGATGAGATTAGATATAATCTGATATAAAGATTCAAATAAAAACTTTATTTTTTGGCAGTCAGCAAAAATAAATAATATCAACCCGGTAATAGACAGAATAATGGAAGACGAATCTGTTGAGGGCGTTATCATGACGAATAAAGACGGTGAGATGTTTGATTTTTTTTTTTCAATAAATTTATTTATTATAAAAAAAAGAACACAATATTTCCACAATAGATGTTTGATTAAAGTGTTCAAAATTATCTGTCTACTGATATTTTTACACATATTAATATTCGTTATTTATATTTTATACGTTAATTATTCGCTTGAGACTTTTTTGGCGGGAACGCGAGAAGTGAAGTTGTGTGATTTGTTTTATTTGGTCTATTTAGTGTTTCTTCAGACTTAAACGTGTAATAACGTTGGTTTATTAACTGTTTAATATCTGTGAAAGTGCATAAATGTGGAAAAATGAAACAAGCCGTTGGACGTAACTTCTCGGAATCCTCCAAAAAGTCCACTGAAAAAATCTCACTAAATGGCCACCATTCTACTGAGATTATATTTCATCCCATATCATTTCATTTAATTTCATACCAGTTGATTAATGTCTCAAATTAATCGTCTTCAATTAATTTCATTTCACTCCATATTATAATTTTTCATAATAAGATTATAAATAAAAAAAAACACTTGAGTAAAGGTCTTAGTTACCAAGTCATATAATCCCTTTAAATGACAATAATATCTGTATCATAATATCAGTATCCGTCACATATTTTCATGCTAGATTATCAAAAATAACAAAAAAAACTATATAAATTAATAAAAAAACAGTCGGAGTAGCTCGTCAATGTTTCTTTTTCTTTTATTTTTCCTAGCTATGCTGATATGCTGCCTGGAGAGGCTATTTCAGCTTCGCCCTAACGTGTAGGTGAGCTCACGGGGCTCAAACCGGAGTGTTGCTAACACTAACCCTAGTAAGAGCAGTGCTTCGCAGAACCTACCATCGGATCGGAAACGCGACCCGCTGAGAAGATCCGGCGAGAAACTCAGTGGGCTGTGTCTATGGGTTAATTCGCTCGTCGAGCCCTTCGTCGCAAGCGACGGGTTTGACGAGGACGGTGACCGGATAATCAATAGCTACATACGTCACAAATGAAACAGCCTGAAAAACAATGGAGATAGAGATAGAATTGCCTATTTATTCAATTCAAAGTAGAGCCCAACGTAATTAGCGTAACAAAGCCTCAATTATCGAAATTATCTTTTTTTCTATTAAAGGATGTCCGATAATGACAAATGTGAATGCAGCCGGTGCCACGAACTACGCCTTGGCTCTGCACAGATTCGGTGTTATGGTACAAACTTGCGTCAAGGAAATGGTAATTTAATAACTTTTTTATTTATTGCTTTGATGGGTGGACGAGCTCACAGCCCACCAGTGTGATTAGTGCGAGTTTGTTAACGTTCTCGATAGCGTAAAAGTTAAGTCAATTTTGCATGCCATTGGAACAGCGCCCCTAGCGGCAAACGTACGCAAACGATCCCGTTCCATACAAATATGAGCTAACTTTTACGCTATAGAGAACGTTAAAAAACTCGCACTAAGTATATACACTGGTGTTCAGCGGTTACCGAAGTCCATAGACATCTGCAACGTAAATGCCACCACCCACCTTGAGATATAAGTTCTAAGATCTCAAGTATAGTTACAACGGCTTTATTTAATTCCGAACATTTTCATATTTAATTAACTTTTAAAACTTCTCTGGACTTCCACAAATAATTCAAGACCAAAATCAGCCAAATCGGTCCAGCCGTTCTCGAGTTTAACGAGACTAACGAACAGCAATTCATTTTTTTTAAAGAAAAGAAGAAGACTTCGGCCGTTTTGGCTCCTTGAACTCGCCTACACATTCGATGAAGCTAGCATAACCTCTCGTGGCTACTAGTAGATAGGAAACATGAAACATACTACATTTTCGTAATACCTAAGTTAAAGCTTTGACATTATTTCAGGATCCTTTCGACGCAGTACTAGTAATGCGTTTGCATACGAAAAAGAAAGAAATCATGGTGGTCCCGGATCCGTCCTTCAACATAATCGTGTTACAGCAAGCGAGACAAAAGATCAAGAAAAATTCTGAAAAGCAATTCATTTCATGATGTTTAAACATTCACGAGTGTTATAAATACTATTTTTTTTGTTGTACAACATAAAATTTAGGTAACTTCTTTATTTTCTAAATAAAAATACCTATTACCTATTGACTTACCTACTTTATCTTACTTGCCTATTCTCAGAATAAGGATTAGATCGTATTAGCAAATAAATTAAATTTGACAAAAACCTGAAAGTTGAAACGCAATTTAACGATCATTTTAAGAAGCATTTTTTAAGCGATTTTATGACCTGGTAACTAAGACCTTTAGGTCATGTCTTATTTTTATTCTTATTCTTCTATCTTATTTTTTATGAAAAATGATAATATGGAGTGAAATGAAATGAAATGGAAATGATTAATTTGAGACATTAATCAACTGGGATGAGATTAAGCAAAATGAGATGAGATGATATGGGATGAAACATAATCTCAGTAAAATGATGGTCATTTACTGAGACTTTTTCAGTGGACTTTTCATAAAATCATGGTCATAAAATCCCTTTAAAAAAAAAGATACTCTTTGGACTTTTTGGTGGGAACGCGAGGAGTGAAGTTGTGTGATTTGTTTTATTTTGTCTATTTAGTGTTTCTTCGGGTTTAAATGTGTATTAATGGTGGTTTATTAACTGTTTAATATCTGTCAAAGTGCACAAATGTGGGTAAATGAAACAAATCCGCTGGACGTAACTTCTCGAGATCCTCCAAAAGTCCACTGAAAAAATCTTAGTAAATGACTACCATTTTACTGAGATTATATTTCATCCCACATCATCTCATTTAATTTCATTTAATTTCATCTCAGTTGATTAACGTCTCAAATTAATTATCTTCATTTCATTTCACTCCATAATATCATTTTTCATAAAAATATGATTAAAATAAGACATGACTTAAAGGTCTCAGTTACCAGGTCATAAAATCCTTTAAAAAAATCTATCAGAACATTAAAAAAATTGAGGCGTCTTCCATAGATTATACTACACATTAGACAACGCGTCTTTTACACAGTACGCGTAATAATTTACATTGAAAACATTGTGTTACATTAATGTAAAAACGGAAATCAAGTAATATTTAGGGCATAATTTGATTTAATCAAAATGGCAGATAAATACGACAAAAATGGGTATAATAGTGGCGATTTTAAAAGAAATACCACACAAGGTAAACCAGAGGAACTCGATCAAAATGGCGAAGAAGGTATCAAAATAAATGAAAAAGCCGGTGAATACATGCGTGAACTACTTAGCGAGAAGATCAAACTCAATAATTCAAAATTTCCACTATCTATGAAGTTAATTGATCAAGGTATGCTAATTCTTCACTACTTACTTATTTAAAAGAATATTTCGTAACTCTTCTTCACTCCTCAATATTTCGACAACAAAAATCATTGTATTGAGAAGAAAATGTTCCATTTAACAAATAAAAATCCCCTATAAAAATTACTAATAACAGTTCATTGACCTCTCAATGTGACAAAACCATTTGAAATAAATTGAAAAAAAAAAACTTTGCCGCCGTATTGATATTTTGAAATTATTGTTACAGAAGTAACAAAAGTACAGGCTAGTGGTCGTATCACCAAGGACTCAAAATATGTGGATGTGTTCCGTGACAAACCAACCAAAGTCACAGTTAAAGTTCTTGTGCCAATTAAGGAACATCCTAAAGTAAGAAAATTGAATCTAATAATAAGTATATCGTTGCAAATAATTGTCTCAAGCTTACAAAAACAAAACTATTATTTCAAATCAACTCTCATCTAAGAGATATTCGTGTAACAGGAGGCCTTGCACTCAATAATATAAATACCAATAACAAATGAGTTGCATAACATCTTTTATATTTTTATGATGATAAATGGATGTGAGCTGCCTAAAATTGATCTTTGGAAAGCTTAAGACACTGGTGTCATTCCTTGTGGTCGAAAATATAAACTGAAATTTTTTCTTGTTTATTTTTAGAATAAGTCTAAGTATATGAGTACAAGTCTAAAAAAATCATCTCATCAATTTCAAGTTTTTGTTCACTGTCAAAATCTAAGTATTGGTGATGATTTGGTGAATAAACATTTATATTTGAAGCAAAATGATTAAACATTTCAGCTTATTAATCTTATTGTTGCATATGTAGCCAGCCCCAAATTATCAAAAAGGTTACCTTTATCAAAGTGACACTTCATTTGACAATACAGTGCATTTGTAATTTAATACATGCATTTTCCAATTGCAGTTCAACTTTGTGGGAAAACTATTAGGTCCAAAAGGAAACACTATGAAGCAATTACAAGAAGACACACTGTGCAAGATGGCTGTACTCGGCAGGGGCTCAATGAGAGACAGGTGCATAACTCTTTAGATTTGGCATTCTCTGTAACCACATTAAGTCAAGATAATCTTTTAATTTCCATTTTAAATAAATGGAAATCTATAATTGCAGCAACAAATCAAGAAAAGACAAAACCTTTGTGCTGGTAAAGTTGTCGTATACTAGGCATGGGGACCGTGTAGGAGGTTAAGACTCTGGCCAGAAAAAAAAAAAGAAAAAATAGTTGCTTAATGGACAACAGAACTATTTAAAACTACTTGTATAGATAAATCAATGACCAAATAACAAGTGAGATACTGTTGTTGTTGTCCTAAGGTACGGCTGGTACTTACAACCCTCACAAGTTGTCTCCACTTCACCCTATCTTGCACTTGCTCTGTAACATCCCTCCAGGTCAGACTGGCAGTCGTCGCCAAGTGTGTACAGGCCAACAAGGTCTTCTCCTGCCATACTGTTGCTACTCAAAAGAGATACTACATAGAAAAATAGTTAAACATGTCTATTACTCATGAAAACTACAACAGACTTATATTCAGTAGTAAATAGATTTATAATAGTACTAGCTGACCCGGCAGACTTTGTAGTGCCTCAATCGATAAAACAAGCAAAAGGAATCCCTCTGACGGGGGACACATCAAAGGAAAAACAAAATTGTTATTTTTATTTAATTTCGAGCATTTTCATATTTATTTACACCTTTTAAACCTTCTCCGGACTTCCACAAATAATTTAAGATCAAAATTAGCAAAATCGGTCCAGCCGTTCTCGAGTTTTAGCAAGACTAACGAACAGCAATTCATTTTTATATATGAGTCGTCTATTATCAAAGGTGGCAATCTGTGCATTTGGACAAAAATTTTTTATTGATATTTCAATACAGATTGATTTGAATATAATCGTCTCCTTCAAAGAATACGGTTCAAAACCTGCATTAAATAAAGGTTAATACTTAACCTGTTATTTGTCTAAGATGTCGTTCAGAAGAGTTTTGTGACTGCCAATGGAATACAAAGTCAATAATTCGTTTTTCTGATTTACCAATAATTGTCCAAAAGTCACATTGCCGGCTTTGATAATAGTCGACTCATATATAGATAAACAAATCAGTATGATTTTCATTTAGGCAAAAAGAAGAAGAACTCCGCCAGTCATTAGACCCTAAGTACTCTCATCTAGCTGACGATCTTCATGTTGAGATATCGGCCATAGCACCACCAGCAGAGGCTCACGCTCGAATTGCATATGCACTTGCAGAAGTCAAAAAATACTTAGTGCCGGATACAAATGAAACTGTATGGATGTCACAGATGAGAGATATAGATGTCAGAGGTAAGTGTCAAAAAACCTTTTTATTATTCTGAAGAAATAGCTTTAGTAAGAATCCTAATGAAGACTAACACACAATATTTCATTGAATATCATAAAGCCTAGTAACCTAAATGACTGCATATTTGTTTTGCCGAATAATCTGTGTTTAATAATTTGTGTATTACATTTTTTCCCAGTTTTACTATTTACATTATTCCATCTAAAGATTGGAAAAATAGCAATCCAATTTTTAATGTACTCTTTAAAGCATAACTAATTAGTAATAAAAATTGAAAATAATTTGACAAACAGATGAGAAAATAGTCATGATGTTTGTTGTACCTCTACTTAATTGAATATGCAATTTCGAAAAGGGCACATCTCTGAAAATGTAAAATGTTCAGGAAATGACAAAAAACTGATTATTTTCTAAAGCAGTGTAAAATTTAAAATATTAACTTTTGAGATATATTGTAGTGTTATCTATCTCTGAGGTTTATGGCGTTTCCTTGTAGATTTCGCCAATTTCAAGTGTATATAATACTCTGCTTTCTATAGCGGTCTTCGTGAACGAGCAAGGTCACAGATAGTCACTAAGAATTAAGTGAGTAGCTAAGAATGTTTGATGACATGATCACTGTTGATTTACCTAAAACAAATAAGACGCACACAATATACAATATATACAGGGGTTAGTTCGTTAAGACATAAACTATTGTAGTGTTAATTAGCAATTGGAAATTACTGGAATTATTATAAAATGGGTGTAGGTAAGCCTCAAAACTACATGCTTAAGAAAGAACGTATTTGACAAAATATGCAACATGTGCCCGTTTTGAAATTGCATATTCAATTGTAGTTGAGATATCAAGACAAAGAAAAGAACAAAAAGTATACACCCATCAGTAACATCTATGCAAAATGAAGTTACGAACTTATTACTTTAAATTAACCTTATAGGTTTGCTCACAAATCAATGTATGTGTGAAGAATACATTTAACAGCAAATCCGGCAAGTAACCGGGCTGTGAGCCACACCGGAGGCTCTATTTAGACGTTGTTCACACGAATTATTGATGATTTTAGCTTTTTAAATATTGATGCTTGTTATTGGCTTTTGAAATGTTGATACCGCTGAAACTTAAAGTTTTGCATGTCCAAATGAATTTGACCATGATTTACCTCACCAATAGCAGCTTTGAATGAGTGCACTTTTAACTTTTTTTTATTAATCTTTAAGCTTTGGTTTATAAAGATACGTTGAGTGATAATATTTTGTGAGAATCCGAATATGTTGTGGCAACAAAGCGAGTGGCGCCTGCAGCAAGTATTCTACTCTGCTCATCTAACTACTAAGTTTTATTAACCAATGACAAGTAATACAATAAATACTTATAGCAAATACTAGCTACCTGACCCGGCAGACTTCGTAGTGCCTCAATCGATAAATAAAAGACCTAAACTTTTGTATAAAATAAACTTAAAACAAACAAAAGGAATCCGTCCGACGTGGGACACATCAAAGGGAAAACAAAATTGTTATTTTTATTTAATTCCGAGCATTTTCATATTTATCTACCTTTTAAACCTTTTCTGGACTTCCACAAATAATTCAAGACCAAAATTAGCCAAATCAGTCCAGCCATTCTCGAGTTTTAGCGAGACTAACGAACAGCAATTCATTTTTATATATATAGATGACAAGTAATACAATAAATACTTATAAAAAATATAAAATAATAAAATATATATTACTCTATGGTGCAGTGGTTAGCTCCTTAACTGTTACATCGAGGCTCGTGGGCGCGATGAACAGGTATGTTTGCTCTGTGCCTGGTACTCATAACACAGGAAATCCTAAACTGGGGTCAGATGACTGTGTTTGAGTTGTTCCCAATGATTAAATTAATTAATTATTATTACTAACATTCGGTAAATTCAGGTAGGTGTACAGCAGAAATTTGTTGATAATGTTTTATATATTGCCTTTGCAGGCAGACACCACTGTATCGTCCATCTGATAGTCATTTCGTATAAAGTAATCCTAGATTCACATTATTAGCTAACACATGTAGGTATTAAGAATGCTGTCTTGTCTATTTCTGTTGCTAAAGAGTCATACATTCCGATTCGAAGCGTATCCAATGGTTAAGTGATAAAATGGATTGGCAACTCTCAACAATTCAGCCCATCTAGTTTCTCCGAATGTTCTCAGTGGCGTTTCCGATCCGGTGGTAGATTCTGCGAAGCACTGCTCTTGTTAAGGCCAGTGTTAGCAAACCCTCCGGTTTGAGCCCTGAGAGCCACCTGCACGCTAGGGTAAAGCTGAAATAGCCTCTCAAGCTATCAGCATAGGTGTTGTGTTGTTGTAGTCCTAGGGTACCCCACTGACTCACAAGTTGTCTCCACTTGACCCTGTCTTGCGCTGGCTCCTTGACTCCAGGTCACGTTGGCAGTCCTCATCTCACCCTCCTCCGTGCAGAGTGGAGACAGTGATCAGGAGAGATTGTTCCAATTTCTTTACGAATAAAAAAGTACTTCCTTCAAATCGTTAATTTTAGAGATCATTTAATACAGCCCAAAGCACGTCATTACGGATCCTCCTGATCCATTAATGGTGCTTTTAGGCACCACAAGCACCGGTCACCGTCTTCGTCGAACCCGTCGTTTGCGACGAAGGGCTCGACGAGCGAATTAACCCATAGACACTCCCCACTGAGTTTCTCGCCGGATCTTCTCATCGGGTCGCGTTTCCGATCCGGTGGTAGATTCTGCAAAGCACTGCTCATGCTATGGCCAGTGTTAGCAACACTCCGGTTTGAGCCCCGTGAGCTCACCTACTAGTTATGGTTCCGCTGAAGTAGCCTACAGCTTAGGTAGGAAAAAAAAAATTAAAATGTGAGGTGAAAACGGTTTTGAGCAGAATAGAATACAAAGCGCGAGTTGTCGGCAGATGTACACCCGGCGAGGCAGCCGCTGCTCGCGAACCCGGCAAAGAGCATATTGTACCGTAACACAGGGGCCGAGCGGACGCACCCGTACCGCGAGCCCGCGCCCGTCATGCACCCCCCGGCCGCCATGCCGCCGCGATCCATGCCTCCCAAGAACAAGATCATCAGCATCCTGGAACGGGCCCGGACTGCGATGGAGGGCTCTTACTCCTACGAAGACCATTACGCACCACCCGAACCACCAGTGAGTCGCTATGTATTATTCTAATCTCTTTAGGAATCGTCATTATCATCAAACATTTTTTTTATTGCTTAGGTGGGCGGACGAACTCACAGCCCACCTAATGTTAAATGGTTACTGGAGCCCATAGACATCTACAAACGTAAATGCGTCACACCCACCTGGAGATATAAGTTCTAAAGTCTCAGTATAGTTACAACGGCTGCCCCACCCCTCAAACCGAAACGCATTACTGCTTCACGGCAGAAATAGGCGGGGTGGTGGTACCCACTCGCGCGGACTCCCAAGAGGTCCTACCACCAGTAATTACGCAAATTATGATTTTGGGGTTTCATTTTTATTACACGATGTTATTCCTTCACCGTGGAAGTCAATCGTGAACATTTGTTCAGTACGTATTTCTTTAGAAAAATTGGTACCCGCCTGGGATTCAAACACTTGTGTGTAATATGTAAATCTGTTAACAGATGCGAGGGGGCGGGCGCGCGGCCGAGCCGGACGTGTACTACGAGCGCGGCCACGAGCGGTTCTACGAGGACGAGGCGCACTACCGCGAGGAGCCGCGCGAGTACAAGGCGTCGTCGCGCGACGTGGGCACGCGCCGCCCCGCGCCGCACCCGCCCGCGCACCGACACTACCCGCGCGCCGCGCCCTACTCCCGGTACTGCACGCGCGACGCTCGACACTTTAATTATTTTCCCTACCTATGCTGATAGCCTTGAGAGCCTATATCAGCGTTGCCTTAACTAGTAGGTGAGCTCACGGGGCTCAAACCTGATGACGTTGCTAACACTGACCCTAGAAAGAGCAGTGTTTCGTAGAATCTACCACCGGATCGTAAACGCAACCCACTGAGAATAATCCCATCCTCACGGATCGTTTGGAACCTCTGGGTATGCAGAGGGACTTCCGTTCCATCTGTACTTTGTACCGTATGTTCCTTGGGGAATGCTCTGAGGAATTGTTTGAGATGATTCCCTCATCTCCTTTTTATCATCGCACCTCCCGCCATCGGAGCAGAGTTCATCCATATTATCTGGAACCGCTGCATTCATCGACAGTGCGTTTCTAGAGGTCTTTTTTGCCTCGTACCGTCCGGCCTTGGAAAGAGCTCTCCTCCACGGTGTTTCCCGAGCGCTATCACATGTCCTTCTTCAGACAAGGCTTGGAGAGTACTTAACGGTAGACAGCGGCTTGGCTCTGCCCCTGGCATTGCTGAAGTCCATGGGCGACGGTTACCACTCACCATTAGGTGGGCCGTATGCTCATCTGTCCAGTCCAAAAATAAAAACGCTACACGCACGATGTCACAATAACACGTGAGTTTTTTAACGTTCTCGATAGTGTAAAAGTTAACTCAAATTTGTACGCAGTTGGAATAACGCCCCTGGCGGCAAACGTAGGTAAACGTTCCAATTCTTTACAATTTTGATTTAACTTTTACGCTGTCGAGTAGGTTAAAACACTCACTAAGCACAGTGACGAGTATATAGGGTTGTGTCACAAGAAAATAAACAATCGTAGCTGTTAGCAAATCTCACCCCGCCTAGCTGAGCCCTTGCTCTCGTCCAACTGTCCTGGTGAAACTGAAAAGGCCTCCACCCCACCAGTAATTGCTCATTCATAAAAAAAATCGACACCGGTCTTATCACTAGATAATCTTCAGACGAGATCGCTTCGAATACTCTTGTCTTGAGGTGGCCATAAAACTCATCAGCTCGTTCCCTTTTTTTTATTGCTTTGATGGGTGGGCAAGCTCACAGCCCACCTGGTATTAAGTGGTTACTGGAGCCCATAGACATCTACAACGTAAATGCGCCACCCACCTTGAGATGTAAGTTCTAAGATCTCAAGTATAGTTACAACGGCTGCCCCACCCTTCAAACCGAAACGCATTACTGCTTCACGGCTGAAATAGACAGCGCGGTGCTACCTACCAGCGCGGATTCACAAGAGGTCCTACCACCAGTAACATTTAAAAAAACTGATTTATTTGTTTGTATTTTTTGTTATTCGAGTACTAATTGCTTTTGCGTTTCTAGGGCACCGCCGACGCACAAGAAACGTCAGCAATAGGTGAGTTGTAAGAGGTCCAATGTTTTTTTTTTTATTTGTAAAAAAAAACCAGTTTGCGTCGGTTAAAAGAAGACAAAACTAAATACGACAAAAAACGTGCATAATCATTATCTCTTTAAATAAACGTAGGTTTCTTTAGATCAAAATATGACTAAACTAAATCGAAAACACGTATTAAAATGTTGTAAAAAAAAAAAACAATTAACAAGTGTTGCCCGATCACAAAAAAAAAAAACAACTTAAAATACTCTAATGTATTTAGGAATCGAAAAATATTATACTGTAAATTTTGACGAGGTGATCCCAAAAAGAAAATCAATGTAGCGTTAAATCTGTTTCAACATGTTTTGATTGCAACTAATTAAAAAAAATGTTTGAAATGGCTCGTGAAAGAAGAAAACAAAAAAACTTCGTTAAAATAACATTGAAACATGTTGAACCTAAAGCAGAGATGTATTCGATTCTTTTGTTTATTATTATAATAATAAAAAAATATTTGTATAATTTGAATTTTTAATTCCTCTACAAAACACCAACTTTGATACCCAAAATAAAAAGTCAAACAAACGCGCCTGAAGCTGTCAAACCTATTTAATAAAAAAAAGATAATCGCATTAAAGAAATAAATTAAAAACTAAAGTTGCAAACTTTGAAATTTATGTTTCTACTCTTATTCAATTAGTCAATACAATAAGTTGCTAGTAAATTCATCTTTATTAAAACTATAATTAAAGTTTAATCTCGTTAATCCTTTGTTTATTGTCATTATATTATTATACCATGTGACATCACTAGCCGTCTGCCTCCAAGAAAATTGTAAACTATAAAAAAAAACGCAAAATCAAACCTTATAAGAAGTACAACTCGTGACAAACTGAACAAAAAATATTAAATTAATCATTGTACTATTGAGATTTTTTGCACGTGCCTTGTTCAAAGGACATACTGAGACGGAGACAAACTAAGGACAACAATGTGATAAAAATAACAAGAAATCATTTAAAAATTCTTACGAATGCTCAATACACCGTAATTAAAGTACAATAAGTTATTTTTGTAAAATATTCAAATCAAATCAAAAAAAATTTATTCAACATAAATGAAAGTACATACTTATTGAACGTCAAAAGAACTACCGCCAATTCACAAGAACTAGCCTCCATCCTGAGAAGAATTGACAAGAAACTCAGCGGGCATGTCTTTTTTTTTTAATATTAGATAAAAAAAAAATATATTATTCATTTATTATCATTATATTGTTCATTTAGGTACATTTAAATCGAAAATTAAATTCGATTCCTAGAACTTGTTTAACTATTACTCGATATCAATCACAAAGTATATGATGGCCTTATAAATTCTGTAAGCAAAATTTTTTTTATTGCTTATTTCGGTGGACGAGCTCACGGCCCATTTGGTGTTAAGTAGTAACCGGAGCCCATGAACATCAACATCGTTAACGCCGTCACCTACCTTGAGTCACGAGTTATCCCCACCCTTTAAACCAAAACTCATTACTGCCTATCAAGTCTTGCTATGTTTCGTATATAAACTTTTTTTTCTAGTAAATTACACCACTAGATTTAGCTATACTGCAACTTCGTAGTTTCTGAACAAAAGAAAATTAATAAATATAAATACATCCCCCTTACATATAATAGTATAGTTAATATTTCAAAGATACAAGAAGATTTAATAGCTCAACTATCAATCATATTACAATAAAATTGCACATAATAACTATGTGTGTACAAAATAATTGTTAATTAAAAAAAATCAATAGAAAAGTATATAGGTAGGTACTTTAAATAATTAAACCGTGTTATAATCTATTAAAAAAATACAATCTTTAATAAAAATAAACAAAAAATTACCTAATACTATATAAAAAATTTCTAAATATTATTGATTGGTGTCTGCTACTGCAAAAATCTGGAACCCAGTCTAATGAAGAATAAAAGAAAAAGGAAAAAACAATCCACTTGAATATAACTTTGAGCATTCCAAGTATTAAGCGGTAGGCAGCGGCTTGGCTCTGCCCCTGGCATTGTTGAAGTCCATGGGCGACGGTAACTACTCACCATCAGGTGGGCAATATGCTCGTCTGCCTACAATGGCAATAAAAAAAATAACTGTCCCCAGCTTGGACTTTCTCCTGTGTTATGGATGTTTGAAACACATATAAGTCAAGAACTAGACTGCTGCGCTTGTTGATCCCAACACTTTTCCTGTTTATTTGTCCGAGCGTCACTCAATAACTTACTCAGATTTGACTCTAGCTTATCACGTTCAATTATATAGTGGTAACGGAAATAAGCGTATCACCCCTACCGCCCCCCTAATACCCCTAAACAAACGTGATCAATTATTCTCTTCGAGTTTCAAGGATTCGGACACTAAGCAACAGGGATTTAAAAAAAATACACAACATTTGAAATTAATCTGATACACAATAAATAAATCTTTTTTTTTATCAGTGGCTTTATTTTTTTACCCTAACCCCCTACTTAACAACTCTTCTAAATTTTGTATTATGTAGAACTAAGAGATTGTTTCTTATTTATTATGTATAGCCATTGGGTTCTTGCAATATTCAATTATTGAAGTCGTCGTGGCCTAAAGGATAAGATGTCTGGTTTTTTTTTCCTACCTATGCTGATAGCCTTGCGAAGCTATTTCAGCTTGACCCTAACGTGTGTAGGTGAGCTCACGGGGCTCAAACCGGAGTGTTGCTAACACTGACCCTAGCAAGAGCAGTGCTTCGCAGAATCTACCACTGTATCGGAAATGCGACCCACTGAGAAGATCCGGCGAGAAACTCAGTGGGCTGTGTCTACGGGTTCATTCGCTCGTCGAGCCCTTCGTCGCAAGCGACGGGTTCGACGAGGACGGTGACCGGTGCTTGTGGTGATGTCTGGTGCATTCGTATCTAGCGATGCAACGGTGTTCGACTCCGGCAGACAGGTGACACTTTTTCTAGTGAAATGCGTGCTTGACAAGTGTTCACGATTGACTTCCATGGTGAAGGAAAATGACATCGTGTAGTGAAAATCAAACCGGCAAAAATATAATTTGCGTAATTAATGGTGGTAGGACCTCTTGTGAGTCCGCAAGGGTAGGTACCACCACCACCCTGCCTATTTCAGCCGTGAAGCAGTAATGCGTTTCGGTTTGAAGGGTGGGGCAGCCATTGTAACTATACTGAGACCTTAGAACTCATGTCTCAAGGTGGGTGGCGCATTTACGTTGTAGATGTCTATGGGCTCCAGTAACCAATTAACACTAGGTGGGCTGTGAGCTCGTCCACCCATGTAAGCAATAAATGAAATTAAATACATATTCTGTTAAACAATATGAGGAAAAATTAGATGAAGTTGATTTAATTGAGACTGATCAATTGGGATAAAATTAAAGGAAACAAGACGAGATGGAGTGGTTTGGCCTCAGTAAAATCGTGGTTAGTTACTGAGACTTTCGTAGAACCTGAGAAGCCATAGCAGCTTTGTTTCATTTCCCCACATTTCTGCACTTTCACAGATGCTAAACAATTAGTGAACCCCCCTAATTAAGTTTTTAAACTTGACGAAACATTAGATTATCAATATAAAACCATTCACACAACTTCGCTATCTACTTTACTCTCAAAAACCCAACTTATAGATTAGTATTTTCATATTCTTCGTTTCTAGGGCATGGGCCTAAAGACAAACATATAATATACCATCATGCTTCTATATTTTTTCCCATGTTGAGATTGAAATAATCTTCTCAAAATCGGTGGCGACATTAACATTACATGCTGGGCCGAAAAAAAACTCCAGAATTTATTTAATTATCAATGTTAAGAGTTTTGATATAACATTTAGCTTGGGTGGTACCACCCTTTCTACCTACAGCTGTGAAATGGTGTTCTCTTTCGAAGAGTAATGCTGGTGTTATTAAAACAGATGTGAGAGGCTTCTATTTAAGAACAAAGATACGCACATTGTGATAGGCTGAAATGACAATTCTGAATGGACAGTGAGCTTGCCTGTCCATTTACAGCAACGAAAAAGATACAAATTTTGTGGTGTACAAATATTTATTAGTGTAGCAATTTTATAATTTAAAAGACGCTCTAAACAAAGATTATTACGCTTACAAACTATTGAATTATAAAATATATAGAGTAATTTCTTCTTTTCTATGAAACTTTTTTATTGTATTAAAAATTGATATATTGCACTTATGGTGATCGCCAATACTAAAATAACATTAGTTTGAAAAGCATTTAGTGCCATTAATTTAATCATTAACTACTGATCTTCTAAATACACAGTTATAAATTAATTTCCATTAAAAAAAACTTATGACCTATAACTGCTACCAGTAAAAAAAATCTACCACACTAAATTTATTTCTAAGAGCCAGAAAAATCACCATAGGGGGCTCGAGAATTGTTCCAGTATATAATAAATAGTGTTCTGAAAAACAATATAAAATAATTTTAATTATAAATTAACCTACTGTTTTTTGTAAGTAAAGATTTAATCTGATGTGTTCTGTATAACAATTAATATGAATTCTCTGTCCGGTGCAATGAGTATCTCATGTCTTCGACTTCTGACTCGAAGGAATGTCAACTCATTTGTGGAGTCCTGAAATTATAATCAACAATTATGGAAAAGATCAAAATAAAATTAATAAACTGTAGTAGAGTGGGATGTTTTTTAATTTGCATACTTAAAAAAATATATTGCAACATTGTTTGAATTTGTTGAACATAAAGTACCATTTAAACTAAAGTATGAATAATGTACATTGTAATTATTAGCAGCCATTATTGACACCTCTATTACCAGGACACTTACCCTGAGGTATCACAAGTGTTGCCTCATTATTGACAATATTACAAAATTGGGCCAAGGAGTGACCCTGGAAAAGTCCCAAGGACCTCAATAAGCAGAGATGATGGATTTTGGTTTAAGTACAGCTTTTGGAGCATTTACAAGTCCATACTCTTAATCAACATAGTAGTTATAGGTAGAATGAATTAACTGTGCTGCCATAATGGGTATTGTGATGAGAACATCCCAAATACTTCTTCAGACCACAGCCCATAGTATGGAATAGAATGGTACAAAACAGAGATAGAACTAAAATCTCCCTGTAGACATCAGAGGCACTAAAGGAGCTGTATAAAGAAATTTGTTAATAATTTGAATGGCCCTCTTCTGAGTGGAGTAAATGAAAGTGAATGGTGTGGAATGGTTACTCACAGCCTGTATGAGACATGGTGCTTTTCAAAGCTCCAATTTGCAGATATCATCCAACCACCCTCATAAAAATGCATGATGTATTCTGGTTATTATGTTTCTATCTTGGGAGTTAGAAACACTCACTACTGATCTTGAACAGTCAACACTAATATAATCAGGATGCAAAGTTCTATGCTTGGCAGTTCGTACAAACATGGTTTGAACCTCTTTAATGCTCACAAACAGGTCTTTGAAAATAATGCAGTCTTTACCTACATGTTTTCATAATTATATTAAAGTGCAGCAGAATGATATTCATGACTTATAATAAGATTTAACCCAATTAAATATTCAGGTATAGTAATCGGCAAACTTCTTGAGCAAATGACCTTGACTGCGCAGAACCGAATTTTAGATCACTTTGGTGGTGAGGGTGAGGCGCGACGGCAGGGGAAATCGTATCGAGCGCGTTATTGGTAGATCAGTCGAACCTTGCGTCCCGCACCGCGCCCTCATTCCGCTTGCTCCCAAAAGTACGCTTGCGTACAGTGGAAAGTCTNTTGACTTAAATCTATATCTACTACGATATTATATCAGCGTATCGTTTCAAATCTCAAATATCATGAATCGAGAAAATCTACTAGCATCCATCAATATATAGATTCAGAAAATATATAGATTCAATATCCGATATTGATCCTCGATATATAGATACGATTCGATACGCGGCAAAACCGATATTACCCACTCCTAGTGGTTACCGGAGCCCATAGACAAAACAACTCATATATCACAACCATGGAGCTATTAGGTACCTACTACTTACTTTTAAAATACTAACTCTACGATCACAACCTTCTTCTTCTACATCGTTCCCTCACTACTGAGCATCGCGACCACATGCGATCACAACCTACTTAAAGTTAATTAGTCAATTATAATAATAATTTCTGTAAAATTTACATGAAATCCGTTATTCAAAAACGCAACTTTTTCTTTTACTTCCTATTCTAGTAACCTCAAGGGGTTATTCTAGATTCACCGAGTAGGTGAGGTCGCGGGGCTCAAACTTGACGCTGTTGCTAACAGGAATCCTAGCAAGATCCAGGCTTCGCAGAATCTACCACCGGATCGGAAACGCAATCCCCTGAGAAGATCCGGCGAGAAACTCAATAGGATGTATCTGTGGGCTAATTTACTCGCCGAACCCTTCGTCGCAAGCGACGGGTTCGACAATAACGATGACCGATGCTTGGAGTACCTAAAAGAACCGTTAGTGGATCGGGAGGATCCGAAATGACGTGTTTTGGGTGACGTCGACTGTTTACCATTCGGGTCATAGGATCGGGAATGTAGTTACCGGCGCCACGATGAGAAAGTTCTCGTGTCGTGCCTCTTTCCCGAAATGGCGCACTGATGTCAGCTGCATATACTTATTGATGGACTGGAAGGTCCAGGTCTAGGTCGTCATGGAGATCGATGTTCCTGACGTACCACGAGGCTCCGACGGCTATCCTGCAAAAACGGGATTGAATAATTTGAAGGTGTTTCAAGATAATGCGGGCCGCGTGAGCGAACACTACACTTGCATTGGTCATGACGGGGCGTATACATGCAAGTTTTGTAGTGTCACTTTATTTCTAAGGGACAATTTACAGCATCGGATAGAAAAACCGCAACCAATAACTTTAATCCACATCTCCATATTAATTGCACACTTTCACAAATACCAAATGGCATTTAAATAATAATTAACATCCTCAAAAAACTGTTTAATGATTTTATGTGAATGGTGGCAACCAACAATGTATGTACACAGCAATGATAAAACAGTGGTTAAAACGTAGCTCATAGAGTTTATATGTAGGTATTAACTCCATGACCTAGCTACTACTGTGCTTTGGGTCATTTATGATTCGGTTTCGGAATTTATCTCGTTCGACATCTGGCAAGACCAATCAAATTTCAACCAACAAAAAAATTGCATCCAATTCAATTGTTTTTGCTGCAGATATGTCGTTTATTACAACACAACAAAGGAAATTAATAAATAAAAACTGATGCGTTAAATGTAAACCCACCTAAAATGCATTGGGGTTGAGAGAAAAATGAACGAAGGCGCCGCGGAATGCTCCGAAGCTCTGGACCCTCGTGTACAGGTGAAATAAATCGATATTCTGAAGGTAACGAGTTCATAAAAGGAACATTTTCGGAAAGTGACAAATCAGTATATACCGTTAGCCGACAAAAAAAATCTTATTCAAAAGAAGGCTTTTGTTCGAAGTTTGTATTTCACACAGTAATTTTTCTTTTACGAATAAAATAGTATATTAAAGGCTAAGTTGAAAAAGTTTCAATTCATACTTATTTATGCATATACTAAAATAATATTAAAATTCCACTTCAGTTGACAAGATAGTTGAATTAATATAGATGAAATAATCAAGCTTCTAAGTATTAAAATTTTTCAGATTGAATTAGAACGCCTAAACACTGCAACTGATGAGATAAACCGTTTAGAAGTTGAATTGGATGAGGCTCGGCTCGCATTCCGCAGGTTGCTGGCTGAAGGTCATCTAAAGATACAGCAACTCACAAAAAAACTAGGAACCAGTGTGCATAAAGCTAGGCCTTATTATGAAGCTAGATTTAGAGCTAATATTGTAAGTATGAGAAAAAAACGTATGATTTACAGTGTAATATGAATTGTGGCACTTGCTGTCAATAAAAATTGTAAAAATAGTTTAAAAATTAAATCTACAATGGCTTTGGATTGTCAGATCTCTTGTTTATAAGTATAAGTTTTTGCTGCCTTAGCTCATGGATTCATGAAATATGAATCCAGTAAAATGGAATGCTTACTTCAATTTTTATTTTATTTGTTACTATTTAAATCCATAAACTAGGGCAATGCAGCATGAGATATTATGACTCGATATTAGAAGTGACATTCACATTTTGAAGTCGGAAGGATCTTGAGTGACTATTTGATGGTATATGAGCTGATTTAAAAACCCATTCAATGCCAACTGATAATTTAATCAGAAATTTCTAAATGACCCATTAATAAAATTTTGAAACCATTGTGGTCTAAAAAATTGGATGATTAATAATGAACTCTCACTAAATACATACTCAAGCTAGACAACCAATTTTTATTAAGAAACATACTCTTATTACTTTGATAATGAAGGAACAATCTTTAATAAAAATCTAACTGTCATAAATTATATATTTCTATAATTACTAATAGGAAGGCAGATCCATCTGGTGGGCATATTTAAACAACCAATCACAACGGTCTGTAATCTAAGGAGGAGATGCTAAAATGTAAAACTTTGTTACATAATGCTTTAATATTAATTTAATATTCATTACAGACATCCCAGGAGCTGCAAAGCGCTACACTTGCTTATGATAAAGCAAACAGTGCCCATGCAGCTGCTAGGGAGATGGTGTACCTTGCCGAGCAGGGACTCGCAAGACTGGCGGAAGGTTCTGATGGGGGCCTTACTCTCGATCCAGCATGGCAGGAAATGCTTAACCACGCCACTCATCGAGTCAATCAGGTATGCTAATAATATCAAATTTATATTTTAGGTGGTTTTAAACTCAAGTGGAGAATTTAATTTCCTCTGCATAAACTCGGGATGATTGTAGAGATTTAAATATGAACCATAAAGTAAAGATCAAATAAAACTAATGTATAAAAACGAACGAAACATGTCCTAGTGTTCAGGGTTAAAAATTTGCTTATTAAACTTGTAACCTAGAAACTATTAATTCACTAAAAAGAATGGTACCAGATCGTTGTCTGTCCATGGAGCCTTGATCTACTGTTTGCACTAATAAAAATTTGTCTGTGCGCGAGGCGGAAGCAGACCGAGCTCACGCAACGGTGACGCAGCGAACCAAGGCCGCGTCACACCGGGCGGCTACCACACTCGTGCAACAATTACAGAACTCCCTCAAAAGGCACATAGCCAAGTCCCGGTATTTCTTCTATACTTTACTATTTCTATACTTCATTAATGTTATCAAAACTCGGGTGAATTAACAGAACGCATTTTAATATTTGAAAATACTTATGATCCACATGTAACTGACGGAAAAAAATTGATTACAAATATTATAGCTATTCTTGTCATACATGCAATGTAACACAGTATAGTATTAACTGACATGAGGAATCAATACTCTTGTGTTGCCATATGACGCTATGCTATTTTCACTTGCAAATATGCAAAATATGATGTTAACGGTAAGTTGATAGTTCAGAGAATGCTGTTAATATCAGTTAATTCACGACGAGTTATTAGTAACAAAATTAACTGTAATATTGCATAATAAGTAGTCTTTTTAAGGCTTCTCTAAGCTCTCTCTTAAGCATGCACTTGAAATTAGTGGATAAAAAGCTTTAACTTGTTAAAAGACTTAATCTTACTTTCGTTTAAGCTATTAAAGCTATAAATTTAAGCTATAAAATAGATCATATTTAATATTTGGTAAGAGCTACTCAATTTTTCATTTGTTAAACGATATATGGTTAAATAATAATAATAAAGAGTCCCTTAAGTTTGAATAACATTACTATAAAGCCTCTAACAAAAACTAGGAATTCATTGCTCAGTGTCTAAAACTTACTGTCAATGTTAAAAAGCAGCATATGTGACAAAAATATGTAAAATGAAAATTATTATTATTGAAATTATCACACTGTAAATTATTTTATGGATACTGCGATTGCAATTTTTGTTTAAAATATTATACTTAAAGTTATTAATTGCTAAATAACTTAGATCAACTAACTTAGCCACTGCATCTTTTTAGAAAAGTGCTTAGTTGATGCACTACACCAGCGGTGGGGGAACCGGGGAAAATTACCCCAAATGGGGTAAAATGAAATTTTGGGGGGTAAAAATGAAACTTTTGTGAGTAAAAAGTATATATTGAAGTGAAACTTCTTTAGAATCGTTAAATTTATAGTTATTGTTTTCTTTTTAAAATTATCATGGGGGCTATAATATGAAAGATACTAAAAAGAAATTTTTCTTCGCCATGGGGTAATATCAACTTACACAAAAATATTTTGGGGTAATAATTAAAAAAAGTTCCCCGACCGCTGCACTACACCATTTGCAAACCTAAATGATATTACCATCTTTGTTTTGAAAAGGTTATATATAAAAACCTTGAACCAATACAATGTTCTACTCGTCTTTCTTAAATAGCTTGTATATAGCAATAAGAGAAATAAGCTTTTAACATTAGTCTTCATTCGATTGCTTCATTAGTTTGCACAAATTAATTTCTCTTCCGCAGGCCTACACCGACAAGATGGGACTTGCTCGCACTTGCACTTTGGTACAGATTTTATTTTTTAATGCATGTCTTCTTTTTCAGTAGATAATTGCATGTTACATAAATTTGGTAGAATTTTTTTTTGCATGTAAATAAATATTTTAGTAGGACAAATTTGTGAAATATCAAATGAAAATGATGGGTGGACCCCACCTGGTTTTAAGTGGTTACTGGAGCCCATAGACATCTACAACGTAAATGCGCCACCCACCTTGAGATGTAAGTTCTAAGGTCTCAAGTATAGTTACAACGGCTGCCCCACCCTTCAAACTGAACATTACTGTTTTACGGCAGAAATAGGCAGGGTGGTGGTACCTACCCGTGCGGACTCTGAAGAGTTGATTTTGTATTAAATATTTATTGTAAAGTTATGTCTTATTTGCATTACTCTATTAATGATTATTGTGTCGTAAATGTAAAAAAAATATATTGTAAATTAATTGCATAATGTTGTATTTTAAACTAAACTATCATAGTCAAATTGCTATGATTTGTTTTTTGACAGACCGTATTTCGAGGAGAAAGCTCGCATCAACACGGCTTTGGAAGCTCAGAAGGCGAAGATACAAATTCTGGAGGAGCAAGTGACGGAAGCAAAGCAGCAATACTCATCTGCACTGAGGAACTTGGAACGGATATCCGATGAAATACACAAACACCGGTCCAGAAGACAATCTGCTAGAAACGGTGAGATAAATACAAATTTATTATACAATTAAACGGCTGTCTGGTGTAGTGGTAAGTGACATGGTCACTACACAAGGGGGTCGCGGGTTCGAATCCCGCCAAGGGAAGATATTTGTATGATAAATATAAATGTCTTTCCAGGGTTATGGGTGTATATTAAATATATGTATGTGTATAATAAAAATATTATATTTATTTCCGTTATCTGGTACTTGTAACACAAGTTCTTTACGAACTTAGCACGGGACCAGTTAACGTGGCGTGATTGTTAGTAAATATTTATTTATTTATTTATTATTAATATTTTACTATATTTGTACATATACATGGTGTAAAGAGAAATGCTCTTATAACTATGCATTTACTAAACTAAAGTGAACGAAAATTATATTTTTTTACCAATCTATCTAATATAACCATAAACACTTGTGGTTTATGCATGTTTATAGACACATGAACTGTCTCGGGTATAATTTAAGAATTGAATATTTTAATAAATTTGCCACTGGCAACTATAACATCGCAAGAAGTCAATTGCCATACTTAAAAAACAAAATGATTCAACCTACGTCGTTTTGTGTTTGCTATCGAGAAAAATCGACCTGGTAACTAAGACCTTTAAGTCGTGTCTTAATTTATATTCTTATTTTTATGAAAAGTGATAATATGGAGTGAAATGAAATGAAATGAAGGTGATTAATTTGAGACAATAAACAACTGAGATGAAATTACATGAAATGAGATGATATGGGATGAAATATAATCTCAGTAAAATGGTTAAAATGGTTAGTAAATTTACGTCCAGCGTATTTGTTCCATTTTCCCACATTTGTGCACTGTCACACATATTAAACAGTTAATAAACCACCGTTATTACACATTTAAACCTGAAGAAACACTAAATAGACAAAATAAAACAAAAATCACACAACTTCACTCCTCGCGTTCCCGCTAAAAAGTCCACTAGGGCTGTCCATGATATCATAATGTGGACATCCCGCAGACACCGACCGGTCCACGGCGACGGACACGGCCAGCGACAGCAACACCGCGGCCAGCGACAAGCTGGAGGAGCTGTGCGAGAGCAGCTCGGAGGCCAACGTGCGCGAGTGGCTGCGGCGCGCGGCCGAGGCGCCCCCGCCACCCGACACCTGGACAGAGATAGAGCTCGACTGCTCCAGCCCCGAAGAGGTCACTAGCTCTAACACTAACACTGACACCAACTCTAACACTAAAACTAACTCTAGCACTGATACTGACACCAACTCTAACACTAATACTAAGTCTAACTCTAATTCTAATACTAAGTCTAACTCTAACTCTATCACTAACTCTAACTCTAGCATTAACACTAACAGTAATTCTAACCCCAACTCTACCTCTAACGTCCATACCCGACTGACACAGCCTCGATTTTAACCCTTCTGCGGTCCTTAGACTAATGTAAGACTATATGTCTAATAAGTGTGGAAACAGGATCTCAAGGGTTTAATATTCACTTATAAATATTTTGAACGGCTATTTTACTTAGTTATAACACATTGAGACTTGATTCATTCTTAGCATTGCTAAATACATTTCGGAATGTCAGCATAGAGCCCTAAAATTATTTAAGTAATTAAAGGCAGGCGTCGACTTGGCTACGTCCCTGGTATTGCTGACGTCCATGGGCGACGGTTGCCGCTCACCATCAGGTTGGTCGTATGCCTACAAGGGCTATAGAAAAAAAGCACCATACCGACCCCCTTAGATCCCGCTATTCAGATCAATGTTACTAAGCAAATGCAGGCTCGCACTCTTCAAAATATAATTGTACCATGGTTCACTTGCGGACTAAATAATAATAATAATAATAATAATAATGGTTGGTTCGAACAAGTATCAGTTGAATGGAATATTTGAAATGTATTCAACTAATTCGATTTTAATAAATGTATCTTTTTTATTCGATCGGTTTTGTTAATTTTAAGTATGTTTCAATGATACTATGTACACATATGGACTTGTTGTTTTCTGAAATAAAATAAAAAAATCAAGGCGATGTACGTTGAAATGAATAGACGAATATAAATAGTTAAATTAAATACGTGCGCTGAAAATCGTATGAAAAAATAATGTAGCCTTTAACGCCGATTGTTTATAGAATTAGTATCGCACTAGTGAACGTTGACGTCATAGTTCAACATCACGTGTCCTCTGTCTAAATGCTCAGAAGTCTGATGATGCTGCAGATAAGTGGGGCAACAACGTGTCTTTATTAAATTTTATTAGATATCGAACAAAATCTACTAGTAAAAAAATTTTTAATAGCTTATCTGTAAAGTCGGTTTACAGTCGATAGTTTTACGTGATGACGTCAGTAGCAGAACTTCGAACTGCTAGCTCTTACGTCACGCGAGAAGAGAGATAAATGTGTCACAAGCCAATGCTTGGGCCGATCGTGCCTCTCTATCGCTTGTGCTTGCACCCTTAGGGGGAACGTGACAGTTTTTCGTGCGTGCGGCCAGTGTTCAATCGATTTATCGAAAAAAAGTACTTACCAATTTTGGAAATTCAAAATTCTTGGAAGTTGTTATCCAGAATCCGTTAGGTTTTTTTGGGCGTACGTTGAATTTTAAATATATTATTAGGTGGGCTTCGAGAAGTGCTCCCTGCGTCCCCGGTCGACTCCGGAGAAACTGTCGCCGCCGAGCCCCCAGGAGTCGAAGGTGTCCGCCTCCTCCCCGCGCCGCATCATCAGGTCGGACCGCGGCGCCTGCATACGAGCTGAATTGGAGAAGGGCCGGAGACAGAGCTTGGACGCCCTGCTGCATGATACGGGGGAGAAAGTCAAGGAGATGTTCCAAGGTCAGTGACTGCTAGGACAGTACCAACAATATCTTGGAAATAACATTAACAAAACATGAGGTTTCTCCTTTCGTCACACATGTGAGGCTGTCATCGCGTTTCAAAGATCACAGTAGAACTCACATTGTGTGATCACAAGGTGATTGACCAAAACCTGTGTCCCTAATTGAGACACTTGAATGGAAGCGTGGTGTATCATGTGGTAGTTTTCCAATTTATCGAGTGCTCCGAGTTTAAATCAATCAATTATTTCCTTATCAAGTGATATATTTATTGAAAAAATATAATAATATGATAATGAAACAGATGAGTTATTTGAGCCATTAATAAAATATCTGATGAGAGGCAGTACTTTTGAGAGTGCTCGATTGTGCGAAGCGTTGCTGTAGTTGGAACATTCAACGTTGAGCATTATGCCGCATAATGCGCTCTTGTGCTGTCATTGGAAAACTACCACAGGCTAGAGCCCCGTGAGCTCACCTACTCGCCCGGTGAATCTAGTATGAACCTTCGAGCTCAATAGAAAGGCTAGAAAAAAAATTTAAAAAAAACGTGCGTTGTCGTGCAGGACTGTCCCTGTTCGGCGAGCGACGCGGCTCGGGCTCCGGCCGCAGCACCCCGCGCCCCGCGCACCGCACCTGCTCCCCGCGGGGATCCTCCTCCGCTTCAGACGACACCGACAGCCTCGCCAGGTTCGTCTTCAACTTATACCCTTTCCTCTGGACACTATAGAAGTTAAATTTAAACATCTAGTATTACTGATGGTAGGACCTCTGGTGAGTCCGCGCGGGTAGGTACCATCACGCCGCCTATTTCTGCCGTGAATAAGTAATGCGTTTCGGTTTGAAGGGCGGGGCAGCCGTTGTAACTATACTGAGACCTTAAAACTTGTATCTCAAGGTGGGTGGCGCTATTACGTTGTAGATGTCTATGGGCTCCAGTAACCACTTAAAACCAGGTGGGCTGTAAGCTGGTCCATCTATCTAAGCAATAAAAAAAAGTTAAAAACAAATCTAGTTTGTGTGACAAGATTTTTGAAGTGAAACTTCTTTAGGCGCGTTGAGAGTAAAATTTAACTCGTGACAGATTCGGTACGGTTAGAGAGTACAATTTAGAACGACTGCGAGTGAGAAAATAGACAGCGTCTCGCGAACCACTCGACCTTGGAGAGAGGAAGAAAGCGAGCTAGGTCATTTCTCTTATATACATTCTGTTTAGGGGCGTCGGCCACTAGATGGCTCGTTATTAGTTTCTCATTACCACTGTAGATGGCAGTAACATATTAACTATTTTATTTTTAACGAAGGATTTAAAAAATATATAAGAAGTTTCACTTCTGTCAGGTGCACCAAGTTGCAAGCGCACCATTATGTTTTTCCATAATTTTTAATGAATGTCAAAAATATCTAGAATCAACGCGCGTTGCAAGAGTCTAGTGTGTAACCATTCAAGTATGTAAACAGCCTTATTTAAAGTGCTTCTTCAGCACTACTACTGTCTTGTAACTAAATGCATCTTTTGACACAATAAACCGGACCTTCAACCTGAATACACGTATTATTTCAACTCTTCTAATCCATCGTGACCAGACCACAACACAAGAGAATAGTCAAATAACCAAGCGAACACATTTCATAGCTCTGTCTGTATGTAAACATATATTTATTTATTTTCCAGCATTGAGATGTTAACCGATGATCAGATAGCGTCTCTAATGCTGGACGCGCAGCTCGAGGCGGTGTGCGAGCGCCTCGCCGGGGTCGGTCTGCCACCCAACCAGCGCTACTGAGCGCGCGACACCTTCCGACACGCCAAGCTCCAAGCCAAGCTTATCCACGGCCATGCATTTACAGCAAAACTAGTAGGAGTAGTGAAATGGTAACACTTGTACGCATTACATTGAAGCTTTGCAGTACATTGCGGGCGCAGTATGAACTAAGTTTAGCTATTACATTAAACATTATTGCCACAACGCTATACTAAAAAGCAATTTCAGTCAAGAAATTCGCCAAGTTGAAGGCTTGTTTTAGCGAAGATCGTCTTCCGTGGAAACGCAACGTGGAGCCAGCCCGGATACTTGTGAAACTCATCCGAGTGATGTCGGGTGAGGCACGGGACGGGTGTGGCCCACGGACAGAAGGGTTCTATATGAAAATTGTATTGTTTACCATACATTATGTAATTTCTCGACGTCCTCTGTGATGTGATGACGTGCGGTCGACACAGCTATATTAATTTTAACCGCTCACAACAGACGAGCACCGGATAATAAATTGTTTTTATTATCTCTTAGGTTTATGGCGTTTCCTTTTAGATTTCGCCAATGTCAAGTGTATATAATACTCTGCTTTCTATAGCGGGCTTCGTGAACGAGCAAGGTCACAGATTGTAACTAATAATAAATTATTACACTTGAAAACATTTACACGTGAAATATTAATAAATCTAAATGTGTCAGATGTCAGAATAGCTATGTTTTTGATATTTGAGACTTTTACAAATGATCTCGACATTCAATACAATTCGTGGATCGACTAAGTTCAACTCAACCCTACTCGTAACTTATATTTCATTCTACCCTCACCTAGACTATTTGTATACAGAGCATATTATCAAAGGTTTTTCTCATTGGATAAGTTCACTCATGACCCAAATGGGATATATTTTCTTTGGTTAGAAATGACTTTAGTGTATAGTTGTCTATGGGCTCCAGTAACTACTTAACACCAGGTGACCTGTGAGCTCGTCCACAAATCTAAGCAACAAAAAAAAATTCACTCACTAACTCACTCTCTCAAAAGCAATATTAAATGTAAGTAAAAATACTATAGTTCAATGAGAATAGTACATATATGTAAGTGTTTTTTGTTTAATTTTGACTCATGAATTGAAAATTATATCAAACCGAAGTTGAAACTCTACGAGACGATCCAAAAAGAGACAGGCGTATACATGTATAGAGGAAAGAGACAGAATGCTTCTGAAGTCACTTCAATGGCGCAAGTGTTTTTCATAAAAATATATTTGGCTTTGTTGGGGGGGGGGGCACAGACCTCACTTTGCAGCTTTGAGGCATGAGGTCAATGCAACTTCACAGTAGAAACGGGCAGGACATCAGTACCTACAAGCCTCAAATTGTATTCAAACTAATAAAACTTATTCGCTGAGAATTAATTGTAGATTGTTATATGCGATGATAGCCTTCATGAAGAAACATAATAATATAGTATCGCAGTCGTAGTTGATTCGACAGGCAGGTTTTGTATTATATATTATTGACTAGCTTAGCTATTGACATTATATACTAACTGTACCAGTCCGCTTCGCTGGGCATTTAAAATTGACATTATTATTTCTCACCCCCACAAAAAATTGTCATCATTAACGCCCCCGCAACGGGTGTAGGGAGTCCAACACTCATATAAATATTAGCCTATCCATTAGGTACATGTATTTGCTACATGGATACCAAGTTTCAAGTCAATCGGATGCATGGTTCAGTAGTTATAACGGAACATCCGTAAAAACCATTGTAGATTTATATATTAGTATAGATTATGTTTTATTATAATCTCAGTATTATTAAAAAGTTTTGTTCGGTTTTGTATCAGCAAAATTTGCCATTGGTCGTGATTACAGTTTTTATAATTGTGTTATTTACAATAAATATGTGATAAGTAGATAAAGATATTTAATGTCTCAATTAATTTGATATTAGAGACATATCTGTCGCCATTAATTGAGCCTTGAGAAAGTATTTTAAATTTAATTAACTAAATATTAATTATTTATTTTAACCCTAAATGATATTTTAAGTTTTTGTAATTTTACGTGATTCCTCTATATATGTAAATTGTTTTTTATAAAATCCAAATTTTTTGTCTCAGATAATTTCGTAGTAGAGACAATTTTGTCACTATTTGAGTATAGAAAATGTCTTAAAAAATTTATATTAATTATTTATTTAATGAATGATATTTTAAGTTTTTTAATTAATTCCTCTAAATACATGACAATTTTTTTTAAATGTAAAATATTTTTTTTAATACTCTATTATTTTGTCTTCCAGTGTAGTACAATTAAATGAAAGTAAATAAATTTTTTTAGATATTAGTGTTAGTGATTAGTTTGTTAGCTCAATAGTGAAATAGAAATAGTGTGGTCACAGCTCACGGTCGCGGTAACCACAATACGCTATCACTGTTCGTTTGCCATTAGGGTGACCACGCTTATACACGACGCATGGAAAATAATTTTAATGTAATCTAATTTAATTTCATATGTTTTAAAAGTTTATGAATTATTGATTTAAAACAAAAGAAAATGAATAATAAATAGCACATCATAAATTTCGAATGCTATACAATTTTCTTGCTCAGTTGCTCAAAACTACGCGAATAATATAATGGTAATAAGAAATGCGAGCTAAAACTGTACCTAATCGTAGTTTAAGAAATCTTTGTCTCACAAACAAAAATACGTCTTAATGCCATTCACCGAATGCTTACATTTCAATGGCGTCACTAACTAACTATCTTGCGTCTTGAATATCGTGGCTCACACTACTGTGTGCTTATTGCGAGTTCTTTAACGTTCTCGATAGCGTAAAAGTTAACTCACATTTGTTTGCAATTGGAACAGCGCCCCTAGCGGCAAACGTAGGCAAACGTTCCAACTCCATACAAATTTGAGTTAACTTTTACGTTATCGAGAACGTTAAAAAACTCGCATTGAGCCCTTTACACGATTGTTAATGTTCGCCATAATATAATGCATACATAATATAATATAAAGCTTAGTACACATTTGTTCGTGCTAATATAGTTAAAACTTTATAGCTGTATATATATATAAAGGGTGTGTGTTTTTTTTATCACCGATCTGACGTGACTTAGTAATGCAGTAGATAGCGCCCTTGACTGTTGCGCCTAGGGTCGTGGGTTCGATTCCCGTATCGGGCAAACATTCGTGTGATGAACAAGTTTGTTTGCGCTTTATTGTCTATATATATATGTATATATTTAAACGTATATAAGTATGTGTGTCAGTCTTTGGTACCTGTAACACAGGGAATCCTAATTTGGGCCCGGATGACCGCGCGTGATTTGTACCCAGTTTATTTATTTATACTATTAAAATGTCAGTTTTTTTATTTGTAATGTCGAAATTACGGTAACTCACGCCTTCACAGGCCGAGAACTGTCGATTCGATCATAACTTTACCCTCTGCGCTCTGTACGTCATTATAAGTACTAAAATGACTTTAATAATGACTAATAATTAATTTTGAATGGCGCTAATTTTAATTGTGTTTGTAAATTATTTTTTTATCGAAAGAAAGTACAATCAGTCACAGCTGTGACGTTACGTTATTAGTAGTAGTAGTAATGATAGATCAGGATAAAATATGACGCTTAAATAGAAATAGAAAACAAAATTAGAACGCTTGTAGAATAGATTAGTAGACAGAGAGATTATTTTTTCTATTGTCCGTTCCAAATAGTGTTCCTTTTATTTAATTCACTAATAGCAAACTCAATTCGAAGAATATCTTTTTTTTAATGTGAAACATCTATAGCCGCACGTAAAACCGATTTCTGGCGTGGCGACGCAGGCCGTGACGACGCGTCGCCACGCTATATGATGGTATATCTATACAGTCAATATGCAGTAGTGTGTACGGTGTGGCGACGCGTCGCCATGCGCAATCGACTGTGCGATTCTCTCCCACTCGATCCGGCGTTAAGCCATCTCTCTCGCTACACTGAGCTCGGATACCTATAGTGTATACTCCGTAGTGTATACAGTGTTGTTTACTACACTACACATAACCTGTGTTTTACTTGAAAACAAATTATTTTTTCGTAATATTTTATTTTATCATTATGACATATTTAGTTCCTATCACAATCTGTTCTTTTCTGCATATTACTTTTACAAAATAATGTCGATGTTTCACATCTGCCAGGCGTCCCGTGACGGCTCACATTTCTTTTTTAATTATACAATAGTAATTGAAGACTTCATTCCTCAATTAAAATTGATTAGAAGGTACTTGCTTTTATATAATAATTTTTTTATAGAAATTGTATATTTATTCGTTAACTTTATGTATTACACATATTGAGGGGTGAAAGGTATGAGCGACTTAAGCGACATTTCGCTTAATACGCGTCATTTATCTTTGTAATTAAAGGTGCGTTTTATTTGGTATCAGCATCAACAGTTCGATGTTTTTAATTGAACTTCAATTACGTTTACTCCGTCAGATAAAGTTTTTTTAATATGATATTGGAACGAAGTTCCTTATCGCGCGTTGTGAAAGGGGGCTAGACGGAAAAAATTCTTACGAAAAGTTGTCACGACACTTTTTAGATCCGTCATTCTGACCAATCAACGTGTAGGCGCTTATCGCGTGACATTGCTCGTATCCGATTGGTCCGCGTAATGAGTACAGTTTCTCGAGATAGCGTTTCAACAATAGTAATTTAGTTCATAGTATTGTTTTTTTCTTCTTCATAATGCCGTAATTTATTATTATAACTTAAAAAAAAAATTACAATTCCTTCACTAATTAATCGAACTTCGTTCCATCCGAGTGTCCCTTGACACCTCTGAAGTTTTTTTTTTTCCCAAAATTTTAATTAAAATATCCCTGTAAAGTTGCAAAAATGTCGCTTAAACCAAATAGAGCCTTTCGCCCCTCGACATGATAATCCGAAGAGCGCTGTAGATGATAAGCCTTCAATAATCTTAGTTTAGTACCACTATAGCAATAATAATGAATAAATAGTTAATAGTGAAGTAATAATTGTGATTCATAATAGTATATAAGTAAGTATGAATGGGTGCCGCAAAATATTAAATAATACTATTTTATTTACATAGTTATTTTTACGAATACAAAATTATGCTATTTATTTAGAAATATCTGTATTGACTCGTTTATTTTTCTTGCCATTTGCGTGATATTAAATATGTATATAAATGTAAAGAAAATACTTTTATCATTTAAACCAGCGGTCGGGGAACGGGGGTAAATTGCCCTAAATGCGCTAAAATGAAATTTTGGGGGGTAAAAGTATAACTTTTGTGAGTAAAAAGTATATATTAAAGTGAAAGTTCTTTAGAATCGTTGTGATTTCAAACTCGATGAAACGAAATGAAACGAAACGAAAAAATAAGTCCATAGAGACACAAACACATATATTTATAGGATTCAGCCGAGAGAGTGAGATAGAACACATTATTTGGAAACACAAAGTTCACGTGATTGACCCGGGTA